GGGGGGGCACTGACTTGCCCAAGTGGTAGAGGCATGAGATTCAATTACAGGCCTGAGAATGAATGGTTGATTGGTCAATGGATTTTATTACCAATTGAAAGAAGCACCTTTTAAAAATAAAAAATCTGCTCCCTATGTAGTGGTCACTGCCTGGCTCCAAACCCTCTCATGTCCCACTTGATCTGTATTTCAGCAAACAGCCTACTAGAGCTTACCTATAACTCTGATGATCCCGGCTCCTGACCCCTAGTGGGGAGCGTGAAAAAAAAAAAACACCGAACTGTGTTCTCATTCCCAATTCTGGCTGAGATTACAGCTTCAAGAGAGGGTTTCCTGCGCCCACTGCCTCTTGACAATTTGATGTAAATTAAAGGGAGCCCCAGACTAAAACCCCACCCCTGGCTGCCTTTCTGTAGACATACATCTTAATAAAAGGGAAGAAACGGGTTTGGCTTGGCCTATGAGTTACAGCCAAGCCTTAACTATCGGTTCTTAGGATACAGAGAAAAGATCATTGAAATCCAGAAATAATTTCAAAACCTGGGGCCATTGGCTTCCACTCTCTTTCTTGTCAAATCTTGTACCAGAGATACCAGTAAGGGGAAACTCTGACTGCCTCTATTTCTGTTCTTTTCTCACAAAGACCACCATAAGCGGAGTCAAACCTATGTGAAGCATTAACTAGAAGAGGGATGGAGACGGTGATTTAGAGAATGTCAGCTACTGAATAAGTTCTTTGTGCTTCTCGAGGGCAGGGATGTGGTTTCATTCATCTTTACATCCCTGTCAGTACCTAGCTGTACTTAGACACTGGAGGCATTTGATAAACGTTTGTAGAATTGACTTATTGAACATATTATTTAGGAGACCCTTTCAAAGTTTCATGTGTGACATGTTAACTGCTAGAATCTGGGCTGTGCAGTTCTTATAAAAAGCACAGGGGGCCACGCCTATAACATGTGGTGGGTACTCAAGAAACATTTTTGGAATGAGTGAGTGAAGTGGAACTAGGTCTTCTGCAATGAGTGATGGATGAGTTACCAAAATTTCAATCAATGTCTCCTCTATGTGATAATCCGTTTGAGTATTTTGAGAGAATGCCACAAGAAACTCTTTTATGTTTGTGCCTAAAATAAGGCAGGGTGGAAGGCAGGAATCCTACTGGAAAAAATAACAAACAGAGACTAATTGTTGCTTTATAGTGTGTATCACTCAACGTAACAAGATTTCTGGAAACCTCAAACCTTGGCCGAGTCTGGAAGCGTGTCAGCCTCATACTTACCGAGCCGTACAAAAGCCCGTCGGAGTCCATGGCCAAGTACTGGCCACTCTCGGTGCTCTTTATATACACCTCCCCCACGCTTTCCGCGCTGAGCTGCAGCTGAACTGAAATAAAAATAACACGAGCAAAAGTAAATAAACACTAGGCCTTTGCCAACAGGGCCCGGCGGCCTGGACAGTTAGCCATGGAAAATCCTGCTCATTCATTTCAGGGCCCTCAAGGATGAGCCTCAGGTGAGTCAAAACATAGAAATACAGCTCCTTTTTCTTTGCCCTCCAAAGAAAGCTGTCCATTGGGAATTATGTTCTTGAGAGAAGGAGAGATGAACCAGGCGTGCCCGCCCGTCCTCGTTTGTCACAGAATGACGCCTCTCTCCCTTCTCTCTCTTTGTCAGCGGGAGGAAACTAAGCGCAGGAGGAAGCCGCACTCACTTCCCCGGGCTCCCGTTCCCAGCCAGCCTGGGGTCCTGTGGAGCGGGCCCCTGGGCAGCCTCAGTGTGTCCCGCCTCAGTTATCAACCTGCCTTGGGGGTGTCTCTTGACAGCCTGGGCCTTCCAGGAATGAGAACTTCCCCTGGGCAAGTTGAGTCAATGCCCCCACCCTCTGTGGCAACCAACTGGGTAGAGGCAGAGGGGAACCCTGGCTTCTGATGGGGAGAGTGAGGCTCTTACCTGGAATTGCAGGGTAAGCGGTGCTCACCTGGGGAGTGATTTTGTTATCTCGGGGACATTTGGCCATGTCTGGAGACCTTTATGGTGGTCCCACCAGGGGTCGGATGGTGCTGTTAGCATCCAGCAGGTAGAGGTCAGGGATGCTGCTAAACATCCTACAGTGCACAGTGTGGCCCTTCACAATACGGAGTTATTCAGCCGAGGTTGAGAGACCTCGAGGTTGAGGGCAAGGATGCGAGCTACCCTGAGTTACGCTCTCCCCAGTTACGCCCACTGATACTGCCCACTGCTGGGTACCTAATCGGAGTCCAATACCCATTGGGTAAATTATTCATTTGTTCATTCTTTCCAGGGTGGCTCTGGAGGGAGGTGCTTTGATGGTTCACATTTGGGAATCAAAATTAATTTTGGACTCTCCTGGACAATTCTTTGGTCACTAGACTGTCACAACCATCGTTACGAGTAGGAGTGAAATCTCGACCAGGGACCAGTGAGCACTAAGTGGTTCCACCAGGAGATGAGTTGACCTAGAGGTCAGCTTTGTCAGAGGCCAAGGGGCAGAGGGAGCTGAAAAGAACACAGGGTTTTGGTTGGCACATCTAGACCCCCTCATGGCCTTTTCTTTATTTTCCTTATTTATTTAACTTCTTTGAATAAGAATGATATTCTCATGTTTCAAATTTGGAAACAATATAAGAGGAGACAGTGAAAAGCCTCCCCTGCCCCTCAAAGCCTCCCATTTGCAACCAATGGGGATACAGCAGTAAACAGGACAGATGAGACCCTGTCCTTCCTCCCAGGACACCTTCTCCTGGGGAGACAAAGAAAACAAGTAAACCCCTCCTAGATACATTTTAGATGCATCCTCTAGACAAATTTCATGCATATATGAGAAAATACATGTTTTCCCTCCTGCCTTTTTTTACACAAGTAGTAAGATACTACACACACAGTTCTGCACACTGAGTTTGTTTGTTTTTGGAGATCTTTCCATTTCATTACCGAAGGATTTAACCTCACTCTTTTTTGCCAGTTGAATTGTGTTCCATTATGTGGCTATACCACAATCATTTAACCACTTCCCTTTTAATATGTCTGTATTTTCTTATTTCCCTCTGTTTTCTTTATCTTCTGGTTCATTCCAAGGGGGATACATAGTTGCATTACGCTACCGAAGATGCAGTTTTCTTGTCCTTGGAAGTCTTTGCTACAGAGACTCCAGGCCTCCTCTAGCTTCCTCTGGTAAATGGAGTTTATCTCATTTATAGGAAGGAGAATGGAAGCCACCAGTCTCCTTTCCCATAGGTCCTCCTGACTTCAGTTAGCTCTGAGAGAACAGGCCAAAGGGCCTCCGTTGTGATCTGGGCCCTCCCCGTTCTAGCCTCAGATCACACCACTTGCTCACTCAGTCACTGCTTCACCCATTTGACTCCTGCAACACACCAAGCTCTTTGCCACCTCAGGATCTTTGCACGTGCTCTACCCTACGTCTGGCACCATCTTAGCCCTGATACAAAGTTGGTCCTTCTGCTCCTCAGGCCTCAGCCTAACACCCCCTCCTCAGAGAGGCCCTTCCCACCCAAGTACCCTGTGTATTCTATATAGAAGGTTCTTTCACCCTTCCCACCCCACCCCCCACCTCACTATCCCTGCCACTGCCACCTTGGTCTGCACATCATCATCTTTCTCTGTCCCTTGTTTGTTTCTTTCATGGCACTTTTTACAAAGTATTAATCACTTTAGGGGTTACTCATTTATTTCTGCCTCCCTAAGAAAATGTGCACTTGGGAGAAAGGACAGGGGTTTTGTCTATCCTGTTCCCAATTAGGTCTCCAGTACCTCACAGAGTGCCCTGCCCTCAGGGGACAGCCAATATATATTTGTTGAATGAGTCATGCTTTGCTAATATTTGCAGAGATGACTCTCCTGGCCCATCATGAATAAGCTGTGAACTTTGAATTATGCTTCCAGTATTGCCTTGTAGAGTGAAGTAAGATGGGACCAAGTTGAGGATTGTAAGGCTCAAGGATGGGCTCTGCCACCAACCCTTCATGTGACCTTGGCCAAGCTATTTAACCTCTAGGCCACAGTTTTCTTATCGGTAAAATGAGAGCCATCTGGATTCCATCTCTAAAGTTTTTCTAGCTCTAACAGTCTATGAAGCAAGTAAATACAGTTGATAACAATACTGTATACAATAGAATATTATTCAGCTATGAAAAGAAACAAGGTACGGATGCATGCCACCACATGGATGAATCTTGAAAACATGCTAAGTGAAAGAAGCCAGTCACAAAACATCACATATTTGGTGATTCCACTTAAGTGAAATGTCTAGAATAGGCAAACACATAGAGACAAGAAGTAGATTAGTGGCAGCCAGGGGCTGAGAAGGGGAGTGGGGGAGAGAGAAGGGAGAATTCTCTCTTAGGAGGTACAGGGCTTCTTTCTGGAGTGCTGAAAATGGTCTAAAATGGATCGTGGAGATGGTTGCTTAACTCTGAATATAAGAAAAACCACTGAATCGTTCACTTTAAATGGGTGAATTGTATGGTATGTGAATTTCTCTCAATAAAGCATTTCTTAAAAATTCTCTGTGTTTTCATTTATGGTTTTCAGATAACTTTCACATACATTTTTCTATCAATTTCTCAGCATAATCCTGTATGTTTAAGGGAGACCAAAGGAAGGGGATAACCATTTATTGCATCTACAATGGGCCAGGCAGCGAGGGCGCTAGTTTCTATTTTGGTACAGATAGTGTAAAATTAAGGGTGTAGGCTCCATAATCAGACTTCGTGAGTTTAAGTTCTGGTGTGACTGTGTGTTAGCTGTGAGATCACTGGGCAAGTTATTTACCCCTGTTTCCTTACCTATACTGACAGTACCTGCTTCATGGAGTTGTTGTGAGGATTAAATGATCCGATGCATGGAGCGTGCCCAGTACTAACTATCATTTCTCCTGTGCTTAGGTGCCTTCATCGCTCCTCACAGCACTCCCTGGAGGAAGGTGGCTCTGGCTGTGTCCTACAGGTGAGAAGACTGAAGCTTGGCTACAGTTTGACTTACCCAACGTTATACTTATAACCAGGGGTAAAACCATGGCCCAGGTTTAAGCATTCGAAATATCCTGCTTTTCCCTCTCTTTCATAAAATACACTGAGCTCCAGTTATGGGAAACATTGGTCCCAATCAAGCCATACTCACTCCCTCCTTGGATTCCCTTGTGTTCAAGCTCAGACATGCGCAAGATAGCAGATGGTCATCCAGGATCCCTTTTTTTTTAATATGTCCTTATTGATTTCAGAGAGAGGAAGGGAGAGGGGAAGAGAGAGAGAAACATCAATGATGAGAGAGTCATTGATCGGCTGCCTCCTGCACTCCTCCGACTGGGGATCGAGCCCGCAACCCGGGCATGTGCCCTGACCGGGAATCAAACCTCAATCTCCTGGATCCTAAGGTCGATGCTCAACCGCTGAGCCATGCCCGGCCAGGCTCCAGGATCCCTTTTGTAGCCATAGCATGTTGTTAGTTCCCTGGGACGTTTTTCAATTGACCACCCCTATAGGTCGGTATTTAGTCAAACACATTGTAGGTGCAACATAAATCCCAAAGGGCAAATCCTTTTAGGTAATCGAAGAAGGTGTTTTCTTAAAGTAGACTTTATCTTTTAGAGCAATTTTAGGTTCATAGCAAAATGAGGGGAAGGTGCAGAGATTTCCCATATCCCCCCTGCCCCCCAAATGCATAGCTTCCCCCATGATCAACACTCCCCACCAGAGTGGTTCATTTGTTACAGCTGACGAACCTGCACTGACACATTCTTATCACCAAGGAAGATTTTTATAAAGCTTTTTATTTCGTAGTTCGTGCCTGTTCTATGCCTTAAATAGTTCCCATTCATCTTGCCGTGGGGTGAGCCGGGTTGACTTTGCTGTCTGTGGAGTCCCCTTTGGCTGTGCAAAGGCCTCACGGAGTGTGAGCCAGCGCTGCTTGGCACACGAGTCAGTTCTCGGCCATGAGCCCCAGCACCAGGGTTGTTACACTGGTGAGAGTTCGTCTCAAGAGTTTCCTCTGTAAATATTATTTCTCCAGGATGTCCAAGTTTCATAGCTCATTTTCACTGGATTTCTTTCTGGCTAAGTTTCCTAAACATATATCCTTGTGCGAGCAGGGCTGGCAGGAAGGAGTAACACCCAGCCCGAGCTGCTCGTGTAACCGGCTAGGTGTCCAGCTCCCTGGTGTGACTTCATTCCAGTTTTCCAAGCCTACATCCCCCTGCAGCTGCTGCCAAGGAAGAGTAGGAAGGAGAGAGCTCGAGAAAGGGGCTCAGAAGGAGAGGGAGGAGCTGGCCGCACAGCCTGGCTGCCGCCGGAGCTCCTCCCTTTTGGAGCCGAGGGGAGAGCCAGTCAGTCAGCACACACGCATTAGCCA